TTTCTGCATAATTCTATGGCAAATTTGTCTATCTGAACTTGAATATGATAGTTTTTAGTTGATTACTGAGTTCTTTTCCTCTTGATTTAGTTCTGGTGCCTTCCAGATGCAAAAGCACATTTCTATTGTTTACTGATGTCATCAGTTATTTTGTAGTACAATCTTAGATTGGTGACTTCATTTATTAACTTCTATAATGGCAGATTCATTTTCTTTTCATGTAGATATTATGGAAAGGTTCACGAAAATTTTTTTTATATTTGCCTGTCATTACATGGTACAATTTTCAATTTTTTATATAGAAAAATGCTATTTAAATTTAAATTTTTTATAAATCTAAAGCCAAACATACTGTTTAACACCAAATAGATAACTACCCACCAGGCTTTCTGTTGTTTACAATTTATTGAATTCAATAAATTTGTTAATAAGCATTTATTAAATATTTACCGTGTACCAGGTGCCATCCTAGAAACTATCGATAACTTAATGATTCAACTCTTACATATGATGCCTTCTGCCATGTTATGATGTAGCAAGAAGTCTCTCACCACATGCGGCCCCTTGATCTTGGACTTTCTAGCCTCCAGAATTTTTTTTTTTTAATAAACTTTTATTTATAAGCTATGCAGTTTCTGGTGTTCTGCTAACACAAAATGGACTAAACATTCTTCACACGTCAGGACCTGAAAAAATAGCCACCATCATTTCAAGTGGTAAAGGGAATGCTGCCAGTGTATAGAGTTCATGGGGGCATGACTTGGGGGCATGACTTAAAACAGATTGTAACTATAATGCTTTATGTAAGCCCTATGGTAACTATAAAGCAAAAAAGCTACCGCAGATACTCAAAGACAAAGGAATCAAAACATAGGACTACAGAAAACCACCAAATGAAAAAAGACAGCAAGAGAGGCTGGATGTGGTAACTCATGCCTGTAATCCTAGCACTTTGGGATACCAAGGCAAACGGATCACCTGAGCTCAGGTGTTCAAGACCAGCCTAGGCAACATCATGAGACCCCATTTCTACTAAAAATACAAAAATTGGCCAGGTGTGGTGGTGCTTGCCTGTAGTTGCAGCTACCTGAGGGGACGAGGTAGGAGGATTGCTTGTACACAGGAGGTTGAGGCTGCAGTGAGCCAAGATTGCACCATGGTACTCTACCCTGGGTGACAAAGTGAGGCCCTATCTCAAAAACGGAACAAAACAAGAGAGAAAGGAACAAAGGCTCATAAACAACGAGAAAATGAAACACAAAATGGTAGTAGTATATCCTTACCTATCCATAACCTTGAATGTAAAAGGACCAAATTCACCAAAGGACAAAAAGTGGCTGAATGGATACTGAAATAAGATCAAACTATATGCCGCCTATAAAAAACTCATGTAAGCTTTAAGGACTACTGTGTTCTCTCTCTCTCATCCTCTTAAATGGTGATGTGAACACTGAATTTTGCTTTTTCCAAGGATGTTACCAAAGCATATGACACAAATGGAAAAGTAATGGGCTGAGCTCCCAACTCTCCATTAAAAAGATGTGGATATAAAGTATTAGGGAAAAAGGTTTAGCAGTTTAGACTGATGGCAACTTGATGGTTTTTGTTGCATACATACATATATAAATTTCAATATTTGTTTTCCTACATGTTGTGGCTATTTTTTTTCCTGTTCCAGTAATTTTGATAGACAATTATAATACCAAATGAAATACTGCCTATGTCTCATCACTCAGCTCAACTTCACCTCACCTCACCAGTAATGTCATATCCATATCACTGATAAAAATGTTTCCCTTAGGAATATGGAATGGCCTCTATGAATTGAGTTCAGTCTCCTCTCAGAATCCTTGTTAAAATTCTACACTTAACTCAGGAAACGAGTTCCCAAAACGTGGACCAATCATGCCCCCATGAACTGTACACACTGGCAGGGTTCCCTTTACCACCTGAAATGATAGTGGTTATTTTTTCAGGTCCTGACATGTGTGAAGAATGTTTAGTCCATTTTGTGTTAGCAGAACACCAGAAACTGCATAGCTTATAAATAAAAGTTTATTTAAAAAAAAAAAAAAAACTTCTGGAGGCTAGAAAGTCCAAGATCAAGGGGCCGGGCCGCATGTGGTGAGAGACTTCTTGCTACATCATAACATGGCAGAAGGCATTGCATGTCAGAGTGTACCCATGAGAAAGCACAAGAGGGCTGAACTTGCTTTTATAACAAAGTTACTGTCTTGATAACAAACCCACTCATGTGAGAGAAATTAACCCATTCATGATGGGAAAGCACTCATGACCTAATTGTCTCTTAAAGGTTCCATAACTGAACTCTGTTGCATTAGGAATTAAGTTTCCAGCACATGAACTTTGGGGGACACATTCAAACCGTAGCAAATGTGAAACTTCATTCTTTTTGCCTACGATGAGGGCCAACTCAACTGCCAGTCTCTGAATCCTCTTTTCTTTTGGAAATTGTTGTGATGCGATTCTACTGTCTAGATAACTCAGAATGCAGTTCCTGTGTAAAATGTGTCATGGGACACAACTGAAATCACCTCCTGTGTAACACAGAAACAGAACTCAAGGCAAGAGTGGCCATTATATGCTGAAAAAAGCTAAGTGGTGGGTGTGTGCTATCCTTCAATACTTGAAATAATTTTTCTTTAGAGTATGTATACACCTGGTGTGTAACTTCTATCCGGGAGTGTAACAAAAAACCCAGGGTTGACAGTACTCCAGCTTAGCTCTGGACTCTTCAAACTCCTAGCAGAGAAGCTGGAGATGCATGAAGTCATGCAGGGACTTTCTGTGGAAAAGCAGTTTGTTGGGAACTCAACAGTTATAAACTGGGCTAAGTCATGTTAGCCAGTGGACAGGGGAATAAAATCCTTGAGATTTTAAAATTTTCAGAAACGATCTCATCAGAGAGTTAAAGAAAAATCGATGCTACTACAGTATGAGGAACTCCCACGCCCCCACCACATCATGGCGGAATCTCCTTTAGGCCTAATTTATCTTTTTGTTTTATGAGTTATCTTTCTTTAGGCCCTTTTAAGGAACATAGGCATTTATTTTGTTTTTTTGTTTTTTTTTTAAAATAATACTGGTAAAATATTTAATGCTGATAATTACCTATTGCTCACTTATTAAGGAACTGACAGAGTAACTCAGAAAATTCCATCAGAAAGGATTATAGGTAATTACCTGCATTATGGTGATGAGGAAACTGAGACATAATGAAGGAGAACGGACTCTCCCAGGTCACAGCCATATGGGAAGAAAGGGAATGAATACTCAAGCACTGATGTCAATAAGCCATTTAGTAAACTGAGAATCTACTAGGTCTCATAACATACTGGGGACCCTAAACTCACTTTTATTATTTTAAGAGTTAACTGTATAGAAGTGCACTTTATGCAACGTATACAAATTTTTAGTATATTTTGATGGGTTCTAAAAATGTGTACAGCTTTGTAAACATCACCATTTATATATGGAACATTCCATCATAAAAAATTCCTTTCTTCCTCTCACCAGTGGATTCTCACACCCCACTGCCCCCAGCCTTAGGGAATGAATGGTCTACTTTCTTTCTATCCCTCTAGATTAGATGTCTTTCCTAGGATTTTAAATAAATAGGATATAATACAGTCTACCCTCTTGTGCCTGGCTTCTTTTGCTCAGCACAATCTCAAGATTTATCAGTGTTGCTGCATGCATTAGTAACTCCTTCTTTGTACTGCTGTATTCCATTATACAGTAATATTACTGCTTATGTGTTTTTCTGTTGATATTCTAATTATTTACAATTTGAGGATGAGTAAAGATTCTATGAACATTTGCATATAATTCTTTGTGTTTCTCTGGGGTGAATGCCTAGAATGAAAATTGCTGGTTGTCAGTAAGGTACTGTTATCTTCACAAGAAACTATGAAATGGATATGTGTTGCTATCACACGAACATGCACTTTCTTGCTGACCAAAGCTTTGGACATTGTTTATAGTATTTATTGGCCAACCATATAACTTTAGTGAAGTATCTATTTTAACATTTACCTTTTTTGGTCCATTATAACTGCATTGTCTGTATTATAAACATTATTTTTCCTTTAAGAGATAGTCTTGCTCAGTTGCCTGGGCTGGAGTACAGTGGCATGATCATAGCTCACCACAGCCTCCAAGTCCTAGGCACAAGCAATCCTCCCACCTCAGCCTCCCAGGAAGCAGGACCAGGACTACGGATATGTGCCACTATGCTTCAATATTTTTTTTGTAGAGATGAGGTCTCATTATATTGTCCAGGATGGCCTTCAACTCCTGCTTTGGCCTCCTGAAGTGCTGGGATTACACAGGTGAGCCACCATACCCAGTCAGTTTCTTTCGTTTTCTAACATAAATTTTGAACTTTAGGTGATTTTGTTTGGATCTGTGATTTATTTTGAATAAATCTTGACTGGTGACACTGGCTTCTTTGAAAAGAGGCAGTTTAGTAACAATGGCCTTTACTAGACAGACATGTTAGAAGGCAGCAGGAGAAAGGGAATGTGGTATCAGATATTTTCTGTAAAAGGTTATTAATATTCATGTGACAAATTGTAGCTGATGTCAGAGTAGTTATAAAGCAAGAACAACACAATTCTCTTACAGTAATGTTGAGTTCTAAGATACATAAAACAAATACCCGGTAAGTAGCATGCACATATACGAACATAAACAATAACTCACAAAATATTCACATATCTGCGAGGCTGCTTTTCAGTTTATGCAGTTTATTTCTTGTTCGTTTTAGGCTTTTTATGATAGTGAATGTCTATCAATATGTTACTTCATTAAAGGTTTTGATATTATATATGAAACAACGGTTCTCATAGAGCAATATCTAAAGGCTATTACTTACCTTTCTCAAACTGATAATTTTCCCCTTGTAACAAGCTCTGATATAAAATATGATAATTTTTGAAAACTTTTACACATTCAAAACTAAATTATCAGATATTTAATGGTATTTTTGGGTATGTATGTGTGACTGTGTGTCTGTGTGTGAAGAATTTCCTCCATTTGTTAAAATGTCAGATTTCGTCTGGTATTACCTGACTGATGTGGAAGACTTGGAGATAGAAGCCATGGTAATTCAGAATGCTGTAGGAGGTTTGTCCTATGTGACTTTTCTGACATACACTGAGTTCAGATATCCCGAAAAATCATACTCATATGTTATATTATGTGAGTGTTGTTGAGTTTCTGTCAGTATCAAGTATACCCAAACCTTTAGAAGCTCAGGAGGGAACAAATTTATTCCCTCACTGCAAAAAGTCCAACTGTGTACATGGAGGAGAAAACTCCATGCCACAGGGTCCTTCTCTGACCTTGATTCCTACAATCTTGTTTTCCATCGTCAGAGCCTGAGTCCCAAGGTTTTCCTCCATTTCATTCTAATGAGGGATAGAAGAAAATATTGACACTTTGACTGATGTATTTAAGACCTGTCTGTAATTGACCTCCATATTCCACCAACTAGCGGGTAACAATATGACCCCATTTAGATGATAGAGTGGTTGAGCATTTAGGCCAGATGTGGCATGAGGGAGAAGTGAAGATGATTACTAGTAAACATTTCAATAGTTATTATATAGGGATTACCTCTGTGTAAGTTAAAATGAGGGTTGACATGGCAGAAGAATTTCCCACATCCATTATCTTCATTTCTTGCTTAATATACTATGAGGTCTCTATCCTGTATGTATTTTCTGCTGTACTGATTTCTGGCTAAAGTTTATCACACACTTATTATATTCTAGCTTTTCTCATTGTGTGACTTCTTTGATTACGAATGAGTTTTGATCGTTGGCACAAAGTTTTCACATTTTTATTACTTTCTCAGAGCTTTTCTGCAGCATGAGTTTTCTGAGGAATGAGTTCACAAAAGTATTTTCCATATTCACTATCTTTATAGGGTTTCTTTGCTGGGTGAGCTCTCTAACATCCACGGATGATTGCGCTCTGGCTGAAAGAATTTCCATGTAAAATACATTTCAACAATTTATCTCCTAAGTTCTTTGATGTTTGGTGGAGGCTGAAATTGTAGAGGAAATTGCAATGCTCACTACATTAACAGTTCTCTCCTGTGGGTTCATTTATGTACTGTGAGGTTTAATTTCCAGCTCAGAGTTTTTTTTCATATTCTTTATATGCACTTGTTTAATCCCGAGTGGGCTTTCTGATGTTCTCTAAGGCTTGATTTTTGACTGAAAGTTTTCCTGCATTTATCACACTTATAGGGTTTCTCCCCTGTGTGAGTTCTCTGATGTACTCTGAGATTTGATTTCTGACTGAAAGCTTCCCCACACTGATTACAATTATATGGTTTCTCCCCAGTGTGAGTTCGCTGATGTTTTCTTAGGACTGACTTCTCACTGAAAGCTTTTCCACATTCATTACATTCATAGGGCTTCTCCCCAGTGTGAGTTCTCTGATGCCCTCTGAGATTTGATTTCTGCCTGAAAGTTTTTCCACATTCCTCACATTTATAAGGTTTCTCCCCAGTATGAGTTCTGTGATGGACTCTGAGGTTTGATTTTTGACTGAAAGCTTCCCCACAATGATTACATTTATAGGGTTTTTCCCCTGTGTGAATTCTATGATGTCCTCTGAGTTGTGATTTCTGACCAAAAGCTTTTCCACACTGATTACATTTGTAGGGCTTCTCCCCTGTGTGTGTTCTATGATGTTTTCTTAAGCCTGATTTCAGTTTGAAAGCTTTCCCACATTCATCACATTTATATGGTCTTTCCCCTGTGTGAGTTCTTCGATGATTCCTTAGGCCTGATATATGGCTGAAAGATTTCCCACATTCACTACATTCAAAAGGTTTCTCCCCTGTGTGAGTTCTCTGATGTACTATGAGGATTGACTTATAGTTAAAGGACTTCCCACATTCATTACATTTGAATGGTTTCTCTCCTGTGTGGGTTCTCTGGTGTATTCTTAGGCCTGACTTTGCACTGAAAGCTTTCTCACATCCATCACATTTATATGGTTTCTCTCCTGTGTGAGTTCTCTGATGTTTTCTTAGGCGTGACTTCTCCCTGAAGGCTTTCCCACATTCATGACATTCATAGGGTTTCTCCCCTGTGTGACTTTTCTGAGGCCAAATTAAGTGTGAATTCATAGAGCAGGATTTTCCACATTCATTACACTCATAGGGTTTTGCCCTTATGTGAGCTTTCTGATGTACACTGAAAGTTGACTGGTAGCTGAATGTCTCTGTACATGTGTTATAATCAGATGATTTATCTGTTGCATGAGTTCTCTGATACACTGGGAGGGCTGAATGATGGTTGAAACTTTTTCCATATTCAAAGGGTTTCATCCCTCTATGAATTCTATGATGTTCTCTAATGTGTGACTTTGGGTTGAAAGGTTTCCCTTCTGTATCAGTTTTGTGAGTGATCCTACAGAAACAATTTCCAGTATCTTTAAACTCATAGTGACTCTTCTCTTGATGAATGTTCTGAGGAATAATAAAGGTTGATTTCTCATATTTGTTTTCCCCAAATTTATTGCCGTTATAAGATTTTCCTTTATGGTGGGTACTATTAGATGTAACAAGGGCAGCCTTTTCAAGAAAAGCTTTTCTACTTTCATTATATTCAAAATCTTTCCCCAAAGTCTGAATTATCTGATATTGAATAACTTTCTCCTTATGATTGAGGGTTTTCACAATTTTACTGTAAGTGAAGGATTTCTCTTGAGTGTTAGTTCTGCCATCCTTAATATTGATGAGCCATTTGTCACATACATTATGCTCATGAGCCTTTTCTTTTGAATATTGACAGTGTGGGGCCAATGGGCTCAGACCCTGGTAAGCAGACCCCACAGTGTCACATTTACAAGGCATCATTCTGGCAGGAAAAATGTTTATGTCCTGATTATGTGGTTTTCCTGAAATTTCTTGCTCTGTAGTCAATAATTTATTGGTGAATAAAACTTGCCACAAATGTTTGCCTTCTTTTTCTTGACTCTTCTCTGAGATTTCATCAGGTTGGGAGTCTTCTAAAAATGATAAAATTAAATAAACTTTATGATATTGAACACATTTCTTATGAAATGGAATATACATCTATATATGTGCCCTATTATGTATTTGATTCCTTAGTTTCTGGCTCGGTTTCCCAGCAATAAAGTAATTTCAAGTACACATTCCCTATATTCCCTTTTTAGTTTAAAATTTCTTTTTGTAGTAGAAAAAGCAATGGGAAACAAATATACATATGTATTTGGCATTTTAAAACAGAATTTCAAAATTGAATAGAGAAGAATGAAATGACTAAAAACGGTGTGTATGTAAGAGCGCTGGATCCTGGGAACAGGCAAATCAGAGAACGGGATGAATAAAAAAAGGATTACCAACACGAAGTAGATAATAACAACAAAAATCAATGGATTCGTGGTTTTATCTGAGACAGGGTTTGCCTTAGGGAGTAACACTAGTCTAGATTCTTAAAGAAATATAAATTGCAATGGTAGGATAATCATTAGCCTACAATAGTCCATTGGAACTCCAGTTCCATTCTACACATCAACACAAAATCAATTTATAATGGCACCAATTTCCTCACGTTAAAAGAAATAGTACTATAGACCACATTTTAATTCTGTCTGTAGTATCATCAAAGGAACACAAATGTGTAAGTGGAAACTGATGGGAATTAAAGTCATTTTTCTACCTAAATTGGATTCACTGCTCTGCCCTAGCTCTGGTGACTTTGCTTATTACATCAGGGTTGTTCAATACTGAATTCTTTTTGTTTTTTGAGATGGAGTCTCACTCTGTCTCCCAGGCTGGAGTATAGTTGTGTGATCTCGGCTCACTGCAACCTCTGCCTTCTGGGCTCAAGCAATTCTCCTGTCTCAGCCTCCTGAGTAGCTGGGGTTACAGGCATGTACCACCACGCCCAGCTAATTTTTGGTAGGGACAGGGTTTTGCCATGCTGGCCAGGTTGGTCTCAAACTCCTGACCTTAGGCGATCTGCCAGTCGTGGCCTCCCAAAATGCTAGGATTACAGGCATGAGCCACCACACCCAGCCAATAGTGAATCTTTTTGGATCCTCAAATCTTAACTTTTGTCTTTTCAATTTGCTCACTCACTTTCCCCAAACAAGTCTTGCTTTTGTCTAATCCTTAATTCTGCTTTCCATCTACTTTTTAACATTGCTAGTTTTTACTGACTGTGAGAACCTTAAGGATCATATATTTTAACGTGGGCTTAGAAACTTCACAAGTATTCTTTATATTTATTTATCATAAATTTCTTGTATATATTTGACTGCTGTTGTCTTACTGCTACCCACATTCCATGCAAAAATGTCAGCCCTGTGCTAAAAATATTCCAAGGCCTTAAATACACTGCCCTAGTACCCTGAGCGATATTCAGAAAAAGGAAATTTTACATTAACCACAGGCTTATTACATGTTCTAGCTCTCATTGCAATAGCTCACAGTCTTTTCTGCTCTAGTCTTGACAGGATATCATCAACAAATAGCTTTTTTCTATTTTTCTAAAATAATAATACGATTATTTTCAGCAATAATCTTATATTCTTTCCCTGAACCACTTTGCTTTTTAGCCTTAGACCTATGTAGACTCTAGATGCCCTTCAGGCAATGCAAAGCATTTCCCAAACTACACTCACAAAAAAGGCTTCTTGTGTCTTCCCACAAACATAAGGAACATTTATTTCAAATCTGAAAGTAGTTACTGTCTATATTATTCATTTTAACAAGGGATATATGGATAGTACTCATATATCTGACGTGATTTTTTAAGCAAGTTACCATGATTCAAATTAGGAAGCATTTTAAAACTTACAGCATCTGCACAGTTAAATGGCATTTTCTCTTTCTTGGTTGCATGTAAAATAATAGTTCACTTTTTAATCAATAGCAAAATTATTTTAAGCAGCTTTGTTCTCTTTTCCAAAATACAAGCTTCATTCTGATATACTTTATACTCTGTAATGTAAATGAAGTCAGTGACTCTTAAAAAGCAGTGTGCCTCAAAATTACCTCCCCTCTCCTACACAAGTGCTCAGACCCAATGCTAACCTATACCTGATTATTCAAAAGTCTCAGAAATTTGACTTGGGTGTTTGCATTTAGGGATCATGTTTTTTGAATGAATCAATATGAAATACCTCTCCCAAGTGGCTTTGAGGTTAATACACAATATTATTAAAAATACTTACATGTTATATTGCATGGACTCAATATATGGAAGAGCAAAGCAGAGAACCATTCTTTATAGTGGATTATAATCCAGGTGGGAATGCAGTTCATTCAATAACTGTGTGCTCTCTGGCACAGTGTTTCACTTTGTTTTAATACATCTATCAAAGGTTGAGATAAAGCATACACGAAAGTATTCCAAACTGTACCATAGAAGAAGGAATTCAAATCAAAACTTTAAATGAGTAATAGTGCTTTCCCTCTTTTTCTAGTTGAGATTATCTATTTTAATCAATTATTTTTATTCCAAGAACCACTTTTGGCTTTAAAATTTATACTACTGTAGTCTTATTTTCATTACATCATAAACTTTCTCACTTTTAAAAACAAGTATATAAGACTAAAATCTTTGCCTCTCTCTCTCTCTCTCTCTCTCTCTCCCCCTCTCTCTCCCTCTCTCTCTCTCTCTCTCTCTCTCTCTCTCGACACGGTTTTCACCACGTTGGCCAGGCTGGTCTCGAACTCCTGACCTCTGGTGATCCACCCGCCTCGGCCTCTCAAAGTGCTTGGATTATAGGCGTGAGCCACAGCACCCGGCCGACTAAAAGTTTTTTCTAAGCACTGCTTTATCTATATCCCAAAGGTTCTAATATGCATGTTTTTTACCTTTGAAATTTTCTGGATATTGGACAATTTTGATTTTCATTTACTCTTTGATTAAATATGTTTTTAAAGATATATAGAGATATATTCCGTACTGATTTTAAGATAGAGATACTTTAATTCTTCTCATATTGTTTGCAATTTATAGTTTTACTGGACAATAATATTTTTACTTTGTGGAATTTATTGATATTTGCATGAAATATTTTTATATATTGTCAATGTCCCACGATCATTTTAAAGGGGGTTTATTCTTTGTTTCCAGAGTAGAGTTTTGAAAGACACAACAGATTCATTTTTATCAAATGTGTTATTTATAACCTCTAGTGCAGGAGTCAGTAAAATATTTCCATAAAGGGCCAGAGAGTAAATGCCTTCCACTGCACTGATCCTGTGGTCTCTGTTGCAACTACTCAGTTCTGTCTTGTAACATAAACACATAAATGAATAGCTATGGCTGTGTTCTAGATACATCTTTCCTGGCCAAAACAGGCAGCAGGTAGAATCTCACCTTTGTCCTCGTTTGCTGAGCACTAGTCTAGGATCTTAGCTGTGATCCACTGGCTCTGGTATGAAATCAAAGAGGTAATTAAAGACTATGCTACCTAATATGTTTCCATTTTTCCTCAGAACACTTGCAGTTGTTTTATGAAACCTGATAATTTAGTGCACAAATATTCAAAACCCTTAAATATATTTTAAAATTGTCTACTTTAAAAATGCCCTTTTAAAACTGTCTACTTTAGCATTACCAAATGCTGCTTCTCTTCTCTGTTTTCTGGCCTGAATTTAACTTTAGTGTTAGCTAGCTATTGAGTTTATAAAAAGAAGAGCTACAGTATAGGATAAAGTATTCCAAGATTATGTTATATAAGTAGGAATTTAAAGCAAATAAACACTAAATTAGTTTATTGCCTTAGCAATTCATAACCATATTTTGAACTTAACAAATTATTTTTTAAATGTACCTCTTTAACAAAATCTAATAGCATTTTCTCTTAGTAGGTGAATTTATTCCACTTACACTAGTTGATATGGCAAATATGTTTATCTTACTCTATGTTATGCCAGGGATTTGCATAGCTTTTGTGTACACAGGAGTTGATACAGCAGGCCTGAGACGGCTATTCTTAGAAAGGCTTTCTTCAAAGATTTGCCCTTAGCTGGCATCTAGAAACAAGATTCCCATAACTGCTGGGGAGCTCACTGTGCTAGTCCTGTACAAATAATACGATAGAGAACAGCGGTTTTCCATCTCAAAATCTGGAATTTTGGTACATGCTAGACAGAGGGTGTCTACATGGTTAGCCCACAGTAAAAACCCTGGGCACCAATTCTGGGGAGAAAACATTTCACATGTGTTTTCAGAATTCACTGCTTAGGGAAGTGTGCTTGGGGAACTGTATGAACTCTCAGAAACTTGTTTGTTTCCTATGAACTTTGCCCCATGTACCTTTTATCTTTGCTGATTTTTCTTTGTATCTTTTCACTGTATAAATTTTAACTATTATTATGACTATATGCTGAATTGTTTGAGTCCTCTTAGTGAATCAATGAACCTTCTGATCATTGAATTCAATAACTCACCTGGGGAGGTCCTGCTTAGAAATCCTTTCTCTTTCTCTAATAACCATGGATCTTCTCCTTGCTCCAACGTGAAGATCAGTTCTGGTTTTGTAAAGCAGTATCCTATAAATGGGAGATAATTTATCAATTGCATTACTTGCATAGGTCCTACTGTTTCTGAATGTGAAAAAGCTACAACTTTTGTCTACACAAAAGCTATGCAAATTCAGCTAGGCATATTAAGGGTGCTCACTGGACCTTCTTTGGGGAAATAACAACAAAAAACATTTTCTTTATTTTCTTACTTTTTCTTTTCTTTTTTAGATACAGGGTCTCTATGTCACTCAGTCTGAAGTGCAGTGGTGTGACCATGGCTCACTGCAGCCTCAAACTCCTGGGGTCAAGTAATCCTCCTGCTTCAGCCTCCTGAGTAGCTGGGACTACAGGTGTACACCACTATACCTGGCTAATTTTTTTTTTTTTTTTTTGTAAAGACGGAGTCTTACTATATTATCTAGGCTAGTCCGAACTCCTGGCCTCAAGCAATCCTCTCACCCTGGCCTCCCAAAGTGCGGTGGGATGAGCCACTGCACCTGGCCAAAAAACATTTTCTTATTCTCATAAATGATCAATCTCCCTGAACTCCTAAACTGCAGATCTAAATAACATATAAAATTCGAAAATGGCCAATGTCTTGGGTGTCAAGGAAGAGATTTCATGAGGACTTCCACATATGGCCATAATAGGGTAAAAGGAACTGATTTACTGCTCCATAACATATCTCTAAAAAACCATACAAAATATAAAAAATGGTAATTAGGTTTTAGCCAAGAGGCAATGCAGATGGTGAGTCAGGAGGATTGCCTGAGGCTGGGAGTTCAAGACCAGCCTGGGCAACACATAGAGAGACTGGAAAATAATAAACAGAGTTATCTGTGACCTGTGGTTGAATAAATGTGTAGTCTAATATATGTGTAATCAGCATTCCAGAAGAAAAAAAGGAAAAGGAGGAAAAATGTTGAAGAAACAGTGGCCAAAATTTTCCAATTTTAGTCATGTGTATACACTGTTAAATCCAAGAAACTAAATAAATGCCAAGAAGAAACATAAAGAAAATCACATCAAATGTACATTATGATCAAATTGCCAAAAACTGCTGAAAAAAGTAAATTTTATGCAGACAGAAAAAGACGTGCAGAAGAACAAAAAGAATTAAAACTGACTTCTTGTTAGAATTTTTACAGTTTGGAAAACAATGAAGTGACACTTAAAGCACTAAAAGACAAAACAAAACCAACCTAAAATTCTATACTTAGCAAAGGGAAGATGTTTCAGATTAAAAAAAAAAAAAAGCTGAAACAATGTATCAGCAACTGATGTGTATTACAAGAAATTTTAATTTTCCAGATAGAAGAAAAATAGTACTATGGAAATTTTTGATTTATATGAAAAGTTTAGAGATAAAGAGAACCATAAACTGAAAAAAAGAGGATGAAAATAAAATACACTTTTCTCATTCTTGGAATTCTTTTCTTTAAATAGTACATTATCTTTCAAGTTATCTTTTTAAATGATGTTATTTATTATGGGTTTTATATAAGTAACACACATAAAAATAAATTATGCATAATGATAAAGGGAATAATTAACCAAGAGGATATAACAATCACAAATGTTTTTCCATCTCATATTACTTCAAAATACATAAAGCAAACCCTGATGGAACTGGAAGAATAACCAAATCCAAAATAGTAGCTGGACAGTAAAACTCTTTTCTCAATAATTTATAGAAGTAGATTACAAATAAGGAGTACAGAAAGAATATTATCAACCAACACGACCTCCATTTATAGAACATTGATCCAAAAGGAAAACATACTATTTTCAAATACATATGGAACATTTAACCAAGATAAATAATACAATGGGCCCTGAAATGAGTTTAAATAAACTTTAAAATGATTTTAAAATGTTGCTCTTCAAATAGGAATTAAATTAGAAATCAATAATAGTAAAACAATTTTCAAACAGCCAAAAATTTAAAATGAAAAGGCCATGTTCTATTAGAAATATGGAGTAGAGGTACTTTCTCCTAGCCTTTCTGGTAAGTATAGCTAAAAACTATAGCTATTATAGATTTAAAAACATACTGAAAGGTAGAGAGAAGACAGCAGATTGTTCAGGGACCTTAGGACTCAAGAAATGACAATGATGGGTTCCCTGCATCTTCTCTTTGGCCTCATATATTCCAAAGTAGAAGCTGGAGAAGCTGGCAACAAGCAACATGAATGTGAAGGTGAAAAAGCAAAACATCAAACCCAAAGCTTGTGCTCTCAAGCCAGAGGTTCAGGAAAGAGGCAGCCTACGAAGACTGAAAACCTTTAGACAATAACTGTTCTTATTTCAGCCAAACACAAAATAAAAAATACGTTCTCCACCTCTACTGCTGCCATGAAAGGCCACGTGGGGAACTCAAGTGTCTGTGCTCACCAGGCTGTAAGAAGGCTCCCTTACTCCACTAGGGTTCATGTCAGAGAGGGCTGACTGGGGCCTGAGACATGTCTCCAAGCCAGGGAGTGACAAGGTCCCCTGCCCCACAGTGTCAGTAGAAGCCCCATGGGGAGCAGTAATGAGGCCCTTTTGATGCAGGGTGTTATCAGTGAAGGCCCAATGGGGATCCTGAACTGCCACTACCATTCAGCAGTAATGACAGTCGCCCCCTCCTCCAGGTGCCAACAGAGGCTGAGTAGGAAACTTGGATTTTCAGCCCAACTTTTAACAATAAGACAGCAACCCACCCCTCGCTGCCACAGTGGTGTCAGAGAATGCCTGCTACATGAAAAGATTTAAATAAGACACAGATATTATAACTTCCGAAATGTATAGGTTCAATCTAAAATCACTTGTCATACCAAGATCTAAGACAACTTCTACTTATTGAGTGAAGACCATCAATAGATGCCAACACTGAGATGGCACAGAAGTAGCTGACAAAGACTTTAAGTAAGCCATTATATAAAAGTTTAAACAAACAATAAGAAACATGAAAGAAAAAACAGAAAGTCTCAGCAAAGAAAGAGAAGATATATGACGTAGGCATTTTAGAGTTGAAAAATAACTAAATACTCAGTGGAAGGGTTCAACAGCAGAGTGAAGAACACAGGAATGAATCCATGAATTTTAATATAGAAGAGTAGAAACTACCTAATCTGAACAAAGAAAACAGACTAAAGCCACAGAGATCTGTGAGACTATAACACATATCGAATAATTGTGTCATAGACGTTTCAGAAGGAGAGGAGAAGTGGGCGGGGCTGAAAAGTATTAGAAGAAACGATAGCTTACCATGTTAGTGATTGCCATGAGTTAAGGGATAGTAAAAGGAGTTGGGGTGACTTTATAGAAAGGGGCAGGACAAAGCTCTTTGTGGTGACTGAATAGTTCTGTTTACTTGACTGTAGTTGTGGTTACATCAATCTGTACATACAATAAATAACACAGAACTATACACCTGTTGGCCAGTGTGAACTTCCTGATGCTGACATTGTACTACAGTTGCATAAGATGTATCTTTTGGAATGCTGAAGCATTTAGAAAATTGTTGTCTTCTTAGAAGACTGACATGTAACATCTCTCTGTTACCTCTAATTTTCTGTGCTCTGAAGTCTACTTTTTCTGATATTAACATAACCAATCCTACTTTTTTATGGTAATATTCCATGGTATACCTTCTATTCTTTTACTTTCAATCTACCTATAATTTTTAAAGTGAATTTCTTGTAGATGGCATATATTTAGGTGAATTTTAAAAACCAACTCTTTCAATCTATATATATATATATATAATTTTTTTTTTTTTTGAGATGGAGTTTCACTCTTGTTACCCAGACTGGAGTGCAATGGCGCAATCTCAGCTCACCGCAACCTCCGCCTCCTGGGTTCAGGCAATTCTCCTGCCTCAGCCTCCTGAGTAGCTGGGATTACAGGCACGCGCCACCATGCCCAGCTGATTTTTTGTATTTTTAGTAGAGACAGGGTTTCACTGTGTTGACCAGGATGGTCTCGATCTCTTGACCTCATGATCCACCCGCCTCGGCCTCCCACAGTGCTGGGATTACAGGCGTGAGCCACCGCGCCCGGCTCAATCTATATTATTGTATTATACTTTAAGTTCTGGCGTCCATGTGCAGATGTGCATGTTTGTTACATAGGTATACACGTGCCATGGTGGTTTGCTACACCCATCCCCGTCATCTACATTAGGTATTTCTCCTAATGTTAGCCCTCCCCAATCACCCCACCCCTTCCTATCCCTCTCCTAGACTCCCCATCCCACAACAGGCTGTGGTGTGTGATGTTCCCCTCCCTGTGTCCATGTGTTATTGTTCAACACTCACCTATGAGTGAGAACATGTGGCATTTGGTTTTCTGTTCTTGCGTCAGTTTGCTGAGAATGATGGTTTCCAGCTTCACCCATGTCCCTGCAAAGGACATGAACTCATCCTTTTTATGGCTGCATAGTATTCCATGGTGTATATGTGCTACAATTTCTTTATCCAGTCTATCTTTGATGGGCATTTGGGTTGGTTCCAAGTCTTTGCTATTGTGAACAGTGCCATAATAAACACATGTGTGCATGTGTCTTTATAGTTGAATGTTTTATAATCCTTTGGGTATATACCCAGTAATGGGATTGCTGGGTCAAATGGAATTTCTAGTTCTAGATCCTTGAGGAATCACCACACTGTCTTCCACAACAGTTGTACTAAGTTAAACTCCCACCAACAGTGTAAAAGTGTTCCTATTTCTCCACATCCTCTCCAGTATCTGTTGTCTTCTGATTTTTTAATGATCACCATTCTAACTGGTGTGAGATGATATCTCAATGTGGTTTTCATTTGCATTTCTCTGATGACCAGTGATGATGAGCTTTTCTTCATATGTTTGTTGGCTGCATAAATGTCTTCTTTTGAGAAGTGTCTGTTCATATCCTTCACCCACTTTTTGATGGTGTTGTTTTTTTTCTTGTAAATTTGGTTCAGCTCTTTGTAGATTCAATAATATATATTCACTTGGTCCACTTCCACATCTTGTACCATATTCCTTCTTGCTTTCTTTGTTCC